AAAATTGGTCAAACAAAAATAGTAAATAGTTTAGTAGTTTACGAAAACATTTGTCTCCAGACATTTAATCAGTCCCGTGCCGCAACATACACCACGCATAACATAGTGAGGAAAGGTATAGTAACCGATGAAAATTGTTAGTATTGCTTTAATCTTCAGTAGATGTGTCCAGGGGCTTGATTCTATGGCGCCTTGTGACGATATACTTGATATTCGCTATGATAATTTTGCCACCTGATTATATGAATCTTCTATATTCAAATTATCATGGCAGTCTCAAAATTACCATAGCTAATCAAGTATATTGTCACAACTGAAATCGAAGAGGAAAAACTGTGTTTCGCTTGTCAGTAGCATGGTATGCATATTACAGCTGTTTTTTTTCTGTTTTTGCTCATAATACTGCATGATGATCTCGAGTACCATGGAATCATGATTGCCGTACTGAAATGAATTAGAAATTTTAGTCCAGCTACTTTCTTTTCTTGCTTAAGTGCAATAATGTCAGTCTCGTAGTTGTATGTCCCGTGTCGTTTGGAAAACTCGGAGCTGACCTTAATTCACTTTATGACTATAAAACTATAATAACCATGTGATTATGCAAGTAATTTGTGACGACTCTGAATAGAATCTAAGAGAGCTGAGAAAATTGTGAGATATTGACCAGAAAGTGTCGATGAAATTTTACCTAAGCCCCGTCACCCGAGGGAAACGTACTTTCTATAAATTTTCAAGTTAATTGGTTTTATTGAATAATACTTTCTTTGTGTTCATTGTTGTACCTGACATTTTGTAATAAAGAATTAAACGTTTGTGTGCTACTTAGCTGTGTCCGTGTCAGTTCCGTGAAACTTAGTCAGTCCCGTGTGTTAAGATTTTTCAAAAATGTTAAAAAATCAAAATCTACAAACTAAAATGTCGTTTATTGTACAGTTTCCAAACATATAAGTCATACTTCATTAATTGGACACACTAGCTTCTAAAAACTAAATATTTCTTTGTGGTACACTAAGAGAACGTAAATTTTCCAGTTTGCGGATATTGTCCTACATAAGTAATTTCAAAAATGTAACATCACATGACCCCTCAATCTATTTAAAAAAATATTCGAAGATATCTCCCAGCCTCCATCTTTAGATCTTCAAGTGTTATTTCTGTGTTAAAGTACAGTACTTGTGCATCAATTTCATCACCCCGAATTCAGTTTGCAAACTTAACCCGTTCAAAAAGTGAGTAGGGGGTATTGCTGAGAAACACTTTATATAATTAGGGTTTTGTTCCCTGCTCTAGTTACACACCGTAGACCAAGCACATTCACTTAAGGATCCATATACATAAATAAACTGTGACATAAAATGCAACATCCCGAATTAATTATTGTATTTTGATAACAGCTTGTAAACATATTTGCTATCATGAAAATATACGATGATAAATGTTGAAGGCATTCCGAGCCGTACTTTTTTGTAAAGTCTTTTTTGTCATATCAGGATCCGAACAATATGAACATATTTACTTAATATTCAGTGAATATTCTGAGTTGGTGCTATTTGCGTAATTGTTGTTTCATTGCATTATCACGCCTAGAGTTCGGAGACGCGCAAATTTCACTCAACTTTCCGAGTTTGAGGCGGTGTGATAGTCGGGCTACGTGAAGCCGGATTTTCTTTTAGAGAAATCGCTAAGGGCAATCACAATGAGAACAGTTTTTTGCCGAGTAAGGTCTTTTGGACTGTTTTCATACCGTCCCCATCTTGTACTACCTCTGACCATACAACAACGATTGGTATGGGGTAGGGAGCGACTTGAATGGAATATGAAATGGAACTCAGTCGTGTTCAGATTCGGTTTGGGCACACATGATGGCCGTGCAAGAGTAAGAAGGATACGTGGTGAAGCACGAAACGTCCAATATTCCAACAGACGGCATATTCATCGCACTGTGGGTGTTATGGTATGGGGTGCCAATGCTTACTGCAGCAGGTAAACGATTAGTATTCATTCGAGGTGGCATGACTCTCTAGCGCTATATCCACGAACTTTTGTAGCCACAGTCATCTGCTTCCCTTTTTGGAAACATTGCAAGATCCAGTTCTTCAGCAGGACAATGCACGACTTATGTCGCACGTGTCAGTTTAGACTTCTAGAAGCGCCTGGAGTAAATCTGCTTCGGTGGCCTTCTCGATCTACAGACCTTTCCCCCATCGAACATGTACGGGACACGATGGGAAGAAGGTTGCTAAATTCACCGCACCGTCTAGAAACATTGGAGGCTCTACGACAAAAATTCAGACGGCCTGTGATACAATACACCAAGATGACATCAATCACCTAATCTAGTAAATGCCGCGACAAAGAATGCGTAGCGAACAGAGGAGCTTCAACACATTATTAACATTAAGGTGGATATCTCAGACATTTTGCGGAATTTCGAAATAATACTTTAATCACTCTTATCAGTAGACCTAAAACGTGTTGTTAGAGTACATGTATGCTCAAAATTACGGCACTGCTAGTCGGTGTTGCATTTTCTATGACATAAATGGCTACATTACGGTTTCAATCCATCTGGGATCCATGAATGCTTGTTGCTCACGATGCTGTATCAGTATATTTTTCTTGAATTTAAGATACATGTGGTAATGGAAAAACCCTATCTGTTTCAAAACTATGCGTGATTTTTGTCCATATCGGCTTACAGATAGAGCAATAAAAGAATGCCGTTAGAATGGCGGAGTTACATGCACATCACTCTAGAGCGGAGTGGCTCTAAAGCATTATGACGTACTGTGACGCACTAGCATGCTGCAAACTTCAATCGATAGACGCGGCAGTGACGTAGTTCCAGGGACAATGATACTCTGTCATGAGGTACGGACAGAAAATTATCATACTACTGTTGATGGTCCGTGTGACCGTGCCGAAGTCAATCGGTCTTAACCAACGAGTTCAAACAGATTAAAATGAGCCAATCCTGTACGTCTACGAGTACATTGCATTGTTTGTTGCCAAAATTGCGTAGGTTTAATACACACTTTTGATTTAATCGTGTCGCTCTTTAGGAATCAATTATAACAGATGTCCGTCTTGGGATTGGTATTAACGATTGAAAATTGAAGAGCGGGTGGGGGTGGAGGGCAGTGGCAGCCCCGTTTGTTGCATCAGTCCTTCTGAGAACAAATGCCAGTGGTGACACTTTTGAACAGGGTGGGATCGACAATTGAAAATTGAAGAAAGGGGGGGAGATATCTGCATCAGTACCTCTTAAAGCGAATGCACTTTGTATGAAAAACGGGGGACCAAAATTATCCGCTTCGTCGCCCCTCAAGACAATTCATCGCCCACCAATTTCCTTTAGACTCTTTACTGTCCCCCCAAAGATTCTCAGCACCCATTAGAAGTCGTTTTCGCCCACTGGAGAAACACTGATCTAGAAGGAGCAAGCATGTGATTTGTTTTGAGCCACGAGATCCTAGCGCAGTTGTTAGGATACAATTGCATACTACAAGTAGGTCAGGCTTGATCCGCCAGTTTCACAGTTGTTGACATGTCGCATTGAAGACATATTTTTATGCAGAAACGAATAAAAATGTGTACTCACGTTACAGGCGGTTATAAGATTAGCGGACAGGCCGACAGGCAGACAGACAGGCCGATGGCACGCAGTTCAAGCTGCATAAAAGCAGATTTTACTTCCTATGTCTCTGGGAGGGTGTTATAATCGAAAATGAGATACCTACTATGTTTTTGGTATGTTATATGACATGTGCATTATGAAAAATCATGTCACTCATTTGCGTCGGTCTGTCTGTCCGTCTGTCGGTCTGCCTGCCAATATTATAACCGCCTTTAACTTGAGAAGAACCTCTTGGATTTTGCTGGAATTTTTACACAATGTTCCTATATGCCAAGAACGCAAAAGCCTTGTAGTTTTGGAAAATTGGTCCAATAGCGGCAGAGAAAAAGGCAGAAAACAGAACAAATAAAAATCGCTCTAACATTTTTTGACGTTTCAGAGGCCTCTGATCATTGACACGACACGCCCAAGCAAGCATTGTTGATTGCAGAAAGCCAAGTAGTGTACTGAGAAGATGTGAAAGAAAGTTGGTTGAGTAGCAAGATCGCATCTGGGTGATTATGTGTATTGGTCTGCATGTGTGTAAAATCTGTGATATTTGCTATGTGATGAAATTATTACTGAATATGCTGCCAATGAAGTTTATCTATTAGTTGTGCCCGACGGCATATAGGCCTCTGATCATTGACACGATACGCCCAAGCAAGCATTGTTGATTGCAGAAAGCCAAGTAGTGTAGGGGAACGGAGGGTATTGCCGTACACATAACTATAAAATGTCGTTGTTACTCAAGTATTCATCAAAAAAGATAATTATCGATTTGAATTGCTAATAATTAGGCCTATTATATATATGCTTAACGACAGAAAATAAAAGTCACAATTATACCAGATAGAGCACTCCAATTGAAAGCAGTCTTTGTACGGCATTAACCGAATCAAGCGGGTAACGCCGTACATGTAGTCGTCTAATTTCGTACACACATCCTCGTATATGCCATCCGTTTCATTAGTGTATTAGCGTAAAAAAATTGAAAATCATAATTTAACAGAAATATATTTAACTCAAAATAAACGGTAATGAACTTCTAACATAAATCATAAACGTTTTCCTGTCTTTACATACAAAATCCACAAAAATAATTAACTGCAGAATCATATCCGGAACATAAAGCGTGCGACCAGCTACCACAGCTGACGCACCTGTACCACAATTCGTTATCCTTCCCGAAATCACCACAAATAACGCATAGTTCCTCGACACCTGTCTCACCTCCCCTTCCTTCAGAAAAATCATCATCTAACTCTTCTTCATCATCACATAGAACATGTAGATCTTCATCAGAAGATGATGAACTCTCCTTTATCATTTGTTTTTTAAAACTTTTTTATTTTTCCTCTTTTTAAGTTTTTTTGTCATAGTCTCAGAGTGTTCCTCTAGTTTTCTTCTTTTTGGCGACTCGTTTTTCCTCAATTTTTTCTAAAACAGATTTCATAGGCGTCGAAGTAAGTAATTTTGATTGTTGTTTGGTCCGTTTACCTATACCTTTCCCTTTTGAAATGTGTTTCTTTTCAGGAGCTGGTGATATTTCACTAAAAGGTATTACGTGTTCAGGTGTTTTATTTCCCACAGGAGTCACAAAAAAGTGGTCGTTTGGCATGCTCAATTTCTGTCTGAGTTGCAGATTTTGACGGAAGTGAATTATGAGCTATCTCTGGTTCTGGATTTTCAAAAAGTAACGAATTTTGAATTCCTGATGTTGAAGGGCGTGAGTCATCAGCGGATTCATTTGGTTCTGTATTTGTAGGTACTAAATATGACCTCTCATTAAAATCCATCGGAATGTCTAGTAAAGCAGATGATGCTTCCACATTTCAGACTCCATCCTTATATCTACAATAGCCTGTTCTGTGGAAATCCTGTCAGAAGCGTTATCATTTCCTTCTTGTATCAATTGACTGAAAACGTTTGGATTGAAGGGCCAAATGCCTGATGCTCGGAAACCACTAAGTGCTTTTTCTGCATTAGCTACATTCAAATACGCTTGAGTGAACAGTGGAATCAATTGCAGTGGCGTTAGTTTCTCATATTGATGGAGTTTCATATAGGCATCACATTCTTTATGTAAAGCTGTTTTCAAGGGACTGTAAACTGTAATATCCAGGGGTTGGGTCCTGTGCGACGTATGAGGCGGTATTGTCAACATAATAATGCCATTTTGGCGACAAAAATCGTAAATTCTCACAGAAATATGACTACTGTGATTATCTAGGATCAATAATACCGGGTCTTCCAATGAGGGTTTTGTATGTTCCGCAAAATGCACTAGCCATGCATAGAAAAATTCTTCAGTCATCCACCCTGACTTATTACATCTATAACTTGAACCGTTTGGACCTCCTTGCTCTAGTGACGGATGCATTCTCAACCGAGGATATACAGGGTGACTTCGAAGTTGAGTCATTATTTTAACAGTGAGTAGATCTGATCAAAAGAAATGTTTTTTTCCTTTACCATTTTTCTGGTAAAATTAAAGTAACAAAGTTATAGCCCTTTGGAAGTTTGAGTACCGCCCTGTCTCAATGTGCTCGTGTTTGGCGACAACGGATATAATCCGTCGTATCGGTTCATCGCATCGGAAACAAAAAAGCGAAAGAATTTGGAACGAATTATTTCATTCATTTGTATACAGTAAGTGTCAGTGAATAGTTGTATCTGTTGCGTGGCTCAAACGAAATAAAAAATGGCACATGTTTATGCGGATCGGTTTCCCAATCGAGTGCAACCAACCCCTCGTGCCTTTGTTAATGTAGTACAACGGGCTCGTGAATCAGGTGACTTAAGACCTCACAGGGGACCTCACGATCAAATACAGGTCCGCACTGAAATACTTGTCGGGAGGATACTTTATAAAACAAGGTAAAAATTTTTTTTAAATTTTTTTTTTATTTTTACACACATATTTTGGTTTATATTCCTTCTACAATCATTATCTGAAAATTAATGACTCAACTTCAAAGTCACCCTGTATAATAAGTGGTGGAACATACTGGCCAGTTGCGCTAATGCAGCAACAAATAGTTATATTCTTCCCACGCTCCCAACTTGTGGCAGATCCTACTTGCTTAATCCCTTTAGGAGCAAGTATTTTACCTCGTTTGTGAACAGCGTTGATGCCTGTTTCATCAACATTAAATATTCTATGAGGACGAAATCTATATTTGTCGTATGTTGATGACAGATTATCAAAGAATATCTGTACCTCTGTGGCATTAAAGGCAAGAATTCTATTTACGCTGGTAGGTTCCGGGCGTCTGATGCTTATTTCAGGATTCCTTTTTAAAAACCCATACATCCAGTCTTTACCAGCTTCTTTTTTATCTTTATTGAAAGGATTTTTAATTTTGTTAGACTCCGCATATGTAAAAACTGCTGCTTTCAATGATTGTGGCGTCAATCCATAAAACATACTTGCCAGAAGTAATATTTGATCTCTAATTTCTGTCTCCTGTTCACGAGAGAAAACGGGTTTTCTTCCCATGCGAAATGAAAGATCATAGCTGTCCCTTTTTGAGTAATCAGATAATGTCATAACAGGAATACCATACAAAGCAGCTGTCGGCCTCAACTTTGCTCCACCACGAATGTCCCTTATTGCACTTTTCATTTTTCTGGGCGACCAAGAGCACTTCTTTTAGGCTCCATCTGTAAATAAAGTTTTTATTTCCTAATATCAAAGACCTGAGGGTCAAAATGATACAATTATGTACTGGGACAATTTCAAAAACAATTTTAATATTTCTCGTGAACTGATTATTTCGATGCGGCAAATACCGTACACGTGTACGCACTTTGCCGACATACTATCCTCCATGTTTAAGCAGAATCATGCGAAAGCGGATGATAGTATTACAACGAAAACAACTTATTTCATTAAAAACAATATTGTTCAACAATTTTAACAATAAAAACAACACGTATACACATATTAAAGTACTTACAATTAAGTTTTCGAAAGTAAAATATTATATCCACGATCGCAAAAACACAGATCATGCTCTCGCCGCCATGTTTGAACACAGAATGGCGCGAACGGTTGTTGTGACAGTTAACCCAACAAACCCGACGTGTGCAACAAGGAACGGTAGCTTTCTGACGTTTCATTCCTTTCAAACTTGACTGTACGAAATTAGACGCCGTACGGTAATACCCTCCGTTCCCCTACTGAGAAGATGTGAAAGAAAGTTGGTTGAGTAGTAAGATCGCATCTGGGTGATTATGTGTATTGGTCTGCATGTGTGTAAAATCTGTGATATTTGCTATGTGATGAAATTATTACTGAATATGCTGCCAATGAAGTTTATCTATTAGTTGTGCCCGACGGCATATTTATATGTTGTCGTTTCTGAAGACAGGTTATGTTCGAAGTTATAAATTACGATTTTTCCCGTTTTTTTTGTTTCAAAAGGAGAATTACGGGAAATCATCACCGCGCTCGCGTTGTGTGTAATTACTGTTAGCATGTATATGATTTGTAATTCGACAGTGTACAGTGAATATAAGTGCAATACGTGACAGTATGTAAGTATAAAATATAAGATTCCACATAAAGCTAATTACTTCACCAGCCACTACCTCTCTCATTTTTAAAATTCAGCAAATTTGAATATGCAATTTCCAGAATGCCGTCTGTAGTGACGAATCTCTCTTCTGTCTGGGGATGCACGATGGTCGGGCAAGAGTGAGAAGGCGACGTGGTGTAAGACGTGACCCACCATTTGACAGAGAGCTCCACGCCGTGGGGGCTATCATATGGGTGCTATTGCTTATGGTAGCAGATCGCCACTAATTTTCATTAGGCAATATAACAGCCCGATGCTATATTCAGGAAGTGGTGGAGCCACATCTTATTCCATACCTAAACACCATCCAAAACCCGATTTTTCAGCAAGACAATGCCAGACCGCATGATGCCAACGCATCGTTAGCCTTCATGGATCAACATCGTATCAACCGTTTACCTTGGCCGCCACGATCGCCTGACCTATCTCCAATTGAACATGTCTGGTGCACGATAGGTCGCAGGCTCTTTAATTTGCAACACCCTCCACAGACCTTAGCAGCTCTTACTCACGAAGCTGTAGTAGCCTGGAATGAGATACCCCAACAGGATATCGACCTCCTTATCAGCACGATGCCCAGGCGTGTAAATGAGTGTATAAGAAATCGTAGATTCTCAACACATTATTGAACCAGCTTCTGCAGTTAGCTGACGAATGCTGAAAATTTAATCATTTTTCTAGTAAGGGACACTGAACGTATATGCCGAAAATTATTAAAATTGGATAAACATACGTTGGTGTTTAACTTTTTTTGTTACTCAGTATATACAACTTACAGCTTAGATTTCCAATAATGCCATCTCTGAAGCAGATGTTACGTCACATCAGAGCCAAACATTGATAGCTGAAGCATCATGACGTTTAGGCAGCATATGCAGCCACAAAACGACTTCACAACAAGTGTATAACAGCTAGTGCTAAGTTGATATCTGGTAGAAAAACCAACAATATGTCGCACGACACGTAATACCCGTGCCGATGTGAAATGTGCTCATAACAAATAACTTTCAATCGGCGTTGCATCGTCGTGGAAGCCACTGCCGACTGTAGCAAGTGCAGGAAATAGTGGTAAGTAACTTTAGCGATGTTGACACGGACACACCGCTACAGGAAAACATTTACATATTTTAGGAATATTTGGGTATTAGGAGTACTCCTATCACTTTAGCTGTCTCCGATGATTTTTGAAATGATGACTTAATTGTTTTTATATCTACACACATATATTTTTCTAAATTTTATGAACCTTTTAGGTACCCGCCCATTTTGTCTAATCTATAATTTGTGTTAGTCAGTATATGATGATTCTTTCAAGTAGATTGACTCAGTACATATTATGCATTGATATACAACAGACATAAATGAGAAACACGAATTTGTATGATACAGATATTTTTAAGCAACAAAAGACTTGTGAACTACAGTTCAAATATTATTGCGAGTTCAATACTTATATCGTTTAGGTTTAGGTAGTTGTAGATTTTGAAAATTGATTCAGTGACGGCGGACAAAGAATAGTAATCGCTGGGACATAGAGTTACAACGTTTCAGAGTTTCACGCTGATTTTCAGACATTATTTGGAGTGGATGAATACTTTATGTTGCAAGCTGTATACAATAAATGGTTGTAAATTGTTGCTTGTGTGGTGTCAGACCTTCTATTATTAAGAAGCTTCTGATAATGAGTCACACATGTTTTCCCTATATCTGCCATGGAAACAGAAATGTGTTCATGTAGCTTCATATATAGAGGTCGAAGATTATCGTAGCTAAGTGAACCTACCTAGTCACGATTATGTTCCGCCTTCTGAAACGACTTGAGTAACCCCTTTTCCTTGAAAGCACTAACGATGGCGTCGGAAGTATAGTGTCAATCTAATTGATGCCATTTTTTTTCATAATTACCTCAGCACAGGTTCCAGAATAAACTATTAGTTATTACTAAAAATCATTTATCTGGGTCGATATTTTCAAACTGAAGGATTAACTTTCAAGGAGTTAAAAAATAAACATTACAATGGAGCATAAGCAATCCTTATTGTGTTTTAGCTCGCTAAAATCCCTACCTTTTGCTCCTTTTTTACCTGTTATTGTTATAAAGAACTTATAACTTATGATTTTTTTCCTGGGCTACATTTAATAGATGGTTGCGACAGCCGAGTATTCATTTCAATGAAGACTAGCTGAACTGAACTGAATCAGAAAATGACCTTAAAAACTAGATATTTAATGCTCTTTCAAAAATGGTATAACATTTGTAGGTTTTACTGAAACTGAATAATTCCAATTCCAAATAAAAAATTTTGTGTCCAAATTACTGTATTAGCTTTTTATTTTAGCAAATGTCCGAAACAGCTACCCATTACCATTTTTTATTCGTACTTGTAAATAATGAACAGCATTAGGTTGTATCTCCATTGATTTTTACAACACTCAAACGAAATAAAGAATTAGGAATCATTATTAACATCTTAAATTAACTAATTGAAATTTAAATTAACATCTTGTAATGTAAATATTGCCTTTAATAAATGATTAGTATTACTATTATTATTATTTTCATAACAGGTTTTCAAAACGTCCACCACCGACTCTTATACACAGCCAGCATCTTCTTAAAAACGTCTCAAACTTAAATCGCATATTTCAGGTGCTGCTTGACGGATTCCGATGACGCAGTTCATCGACTGATCGAATTGGTTTTCCATAGACGTTATCTTTTAAACATCCCCAGTAAAAAAAATCCAGAGTGTTAGGTCTGGGGGGCTTGAGGGACACAAAATTGATCCTAGCCAGCTAATCCATCTTCTAGGGAATGTTTCATCAAGATACACCCTTACTGCACTAGCATAGTGTTCAGGGCACGCATCATACTGTAACCACATTCTTCTTCTTGCCTCAAGAGGCACATCTTCCAAAAGAATGGGTAGATGATGTCTGGTATATTTTTTTTCACAGTAATTAGCCAAACTCTAGTAAAAGTTTTCATATTGGAAGAAAATGTAATAATTTTTGTTAGCATACCATGCTGGTTTTCAATGAAGTGAATACTCGGTTTGTAACGGTTTCACCGTCCGATCGTATTTATTAAATCACTTCTCGATTATCATTTCATTAATCCCATCTCTAGCTTTTTTGCTTGGAAAATTTTCCGCTTGGAGCGCTTGATGCGTAGTTCCTGATCTGCGATCTTCCTCGCGCTTCCTTTTCACTTGAGCCGCCGATCGAACAACGGCTAGAAATTTCTTCTCTGTAGCACAAGGTTATATAGCACCATGTGCTAGATTTCTAGAATGTGTGTCCGTATAGGACAAAAATGATCGGGGCCACCCCCTTTCTCTTTCCCTTTCACTTTGCCTAGCCTTGGCCAATATTTTCACCCATGCATGTGCCTTGGCAGCGCCATCGCCTTTAACTTCGCCTACAACTGGTTGTGAAGCCACTATATGGAGGTCACCCCTCATAACTGGGACCTTCCCTTCAAGCCCCTGGCCATCCTGGCTTCAGTCGAGTAAAAATGGACCAGCGAAAGATAAGTCGATAGCGTTATAGCAGCGCCAAAGATGTAAAACTTATTTTGTTATTTTTGTAAAATTGTAATGTAATGAAATGCCTTTTTTTGTTAAATAAAATCTGTTAAATTTTTGTGTTCTGTTTGTTCTTATATCCTCTAGCCATGCCATGGTCGACATATAGCTACACGCCTGTAGATGTCTTCATGCCACCGACTGAGCTACCGGAAGCTAATGGTAACCCCCTTTCTGTGATTGTGCAGAAAAGTTGGAATCTTCATTGCATTCCATCTTTTCTGGACTTTTTGCGGAAAGGAAGCGTTACATAAATTGGCACCCGCAACGTGAGGCTTCGATAGGTGTTTGGCTTTGTCGACAAGTGGTTTTCTAGTGGAAGATTGGCAGACAGAACATAGTTTTCAAAATTCTTTACAATCTTTGGCAGCATTTCTATTTTTAATTGCTTTTGGTACTCAAATTTCTAATTCCTTAATCATCCTTACTTTTTTCTTAATGTTTAAAATTTTTATCAA